GAGGTTGCGGTGAGCCGAGATCGCGCCATTGCACTCCAGCCTGGGTAACATGAGTGAAACTCCGTCTCAAAAAAAAAAAAAAAAAAAAAAAAAATCTCAAACTTCATTATTGGGCAGTTACTTAAAAAGCTGAACATATACCTATCATATGATGTAGCCATTATACTCTTAAGTATTTACCCAAGAAAAATGAAAGCATATATCAACACAAACCCCTGTATACAAATGTTCCAGCAGCTTTAGTAGCCAAAACTGGAAACAACCCAAATGTACATCGACAAATAAATGGATAAACAGTCTGTGATAAACACAATGAACTGTAACTTAGCAATAAAAGGAACTATAGATATACACTGTAACAGGAATGAATCTGAAAATAATTTATGCTGTGTAAAAGAAGTCAGACAAAAAATAGTATATACTTTATGATTTATTTATATAGAATTCTAGATAATGCAAACTAATTTAAAGAGAGAGAAATCACACATCAGTGGTTACCTGAGGGATGGGGGTGTCAAGGGCAGGTAAAAAGGAGTAGGTAGGAGGGGCTAAAAAGGGGCATGATGAAGCTTTTTGGGAGTGATAGTGGATATGTTTCTTTCCACTATGATGATGGTTTCACAGATACATACCTGTTAAAAGAAATTATGCTCTTTAAATATGTTCAGATTATTGTATGTATGTTATGCATCAATAAGGTAGTTTTAGAAACATGAAATGTACCAAATTGAAATCAGGCCAGGCGTGGTAGCTCATGCTTGTAATCCCAGCACTTTGGGAGGCCAAGGCAGGCAGATCACGAGGTCAAGACATTGTGACCATCATGGCCAACATGGTGAAAACCTGTCTTTACTAAAATACAAAAAATTAGCTGGGTGTGGTGGCGCACGCCTATAGTCCCAGCTACTTGGGAAGCCGAGGCAGGATAACTGCTTGAACCCAGGAGGCGGAGGTTGCAGTGAGCCGAGATCACACCACTGCACTCCAGCCTGGCACCTGGCAACACAGTGAGACTCTGTCTCAAAAAAAAAAAAAAAAAAAATTAGTGGGTGTCATGGTGCATGCCTGTAATCCCAGCTACTTGGGAGGCTGAAGTGGGAGAACTGCTTGAACCTGGGAGGCAGAGGTTGCAGTGAGCCGACATTGCACCACATCACTCTTACTTGGGCGACAGAATGAGACTCCATCTCAAAAAAAAAAAGGTGGGGGGGGGAGCAAAACTAAACAAAGAAAAGAAAAAAGAAAGAAAAATAAATGAAGTAGAAAAAATTTGTGCAAAATATCTGTCAGTTAAAAGCTAATCTTAATATCAGAAAGGTGAACACACACATACACTTACCTAAAACTCAAAAGAGACAGGTAGGAAATTAAAAAAAGAAACAGCAGTGTCCATTTAAAATATGAATCTTTTAAATTCACTAATGATCAAAGAAGTAAAAATAGAAATAACATGACACCTCATTTCACCCACCAAATAGGCAGAATAAGAGAAAAAAGATACTTTTTTTCTGACAAGAGAATAAGGAAATAGTTTCATACATTGCTGGAAGAATAGAATGGGTACGCTCTTTGAACCTAGTAATACACTTTTGGGAATTCATACGAGGCAGTTTCTTGTTTGTTTTGTTTTAGCAAAAGAGGTGAGGTACAATTAGGGAAAGCACAGAAGGAATATGACGGTGCATATGGGAAACGTGACTTCTTTGACCTATGAGTTTTGGTTTCTTTGTAGCTTGTGTTTTATCTGAAGTTAGGTATTGAAATTTTGGGTAATTTTTCTATTTCCTTCTTTTTGTTTCCATGTATTTTCTAAAATTTTGTTTTGAAAAGTCTGTTACTTCTGTAATTAGAAGAAAAGTGACACAAAACCTTTTAGGTAATATCAAATCTAACTATAAAGTACTATAACAAAAAATGGCAATATATATATTTCCAGAAAATAATTTGACAATAGGAATCAAAGCAATTGAACTAAGCTCATTTCTTTTAACCAAATAATTATTCATAACATAAACCATAACTGAGAAGAAAAAAAATTTAGGAAATAAATTGAAACTCAAACATTTTTATAAAAGAATATTTTATTCCAATTTTATTAATATTTTTATTTTCCCTTCTATTTTTCTTTCAAAGATAAAAATTCATCCAGAAAATATTAATTTTTTCCATCTATTTAAAAGAAAGCTAAGTCGTAGATCTATGGACAATACCTTTTTGTGTGTGGCACAAAATATACCATATTGCTCAGATTCATTTTAGCAGCAATCTTCTTTTTTCTCTTTTATAACTTCAGTCCTTTGTATTTATGATGCAACCTATGGAAAAATAACAAAATACATAATTACTGGCAAAATTAAAGAAGCAAGAATTGCTCATGTGGTAGTTTTACATATTTACTTATGCAATATTACAAAGTTAAAATTTTATCTTCATCTGTTTGTGGATGGCAAATATTACAAAGTTAAAATTTTATCTTCATTTGTTTGTGGATGGCAAATTTAAAAGGTAAGATGCTCATAACAAAGACACAAGCTACTCTTTCACAGCCAATATGTGGGAAACAAATGTGTCAATGATTTCAGAATCTATACTGAGGCTTCTACTGTTTGTTTGTGTCCAGGGTAACTTAATAGAGGCTACCAGTAGACAGGACTAATCTGACAGCATGTGGTAATGCTACTGATTCTCTGTCAGTAAGGCTTATATTTTGAATTACTTTTTCAATAGACATGATGATTTGCATTGATTACTCTACCTTTCCTTTTCTAGGCTTTCCTATAACCAATCTTCTACATTTTTAAGGTGATGATTATTTTTAATTATCTATTAAAGAAGTACATGCCAGGCTGGGTACAGTGGCTGACGCCTGTAATCCCAGCATTTTGGGAGGCCGAGGTGGGCAGATCACGAGGTCAGGAGTTCCAGACCAGCCTGATCAACATGGTGAAACCCCATCTCTACCAAAAATACAAAAATTAGCTGGGTGTTGTGGCATGCGTCTATAATCCCAGCTACTCAGGAGGCTGAGGCAGGAGAATCGCTTGAACTCTGGAGGTGGAGGCTGCAGTGAGCCAAGACTGCACCACTGCACTTCAGCCTGAGTGACAGAGCGAGACTCTGTCTCCAAAAAAAAAAAAAAAAAGAACAAAATCCATAATCCTATTCAGGCAAAATTCCATTAACAATTTGGCATATTTTCTCCATGCATGTATTTATTTCTTCATGCACTTTTAAAATGCAGTTGAGATCACATTATACATGTAATTCCTTAGTTCACCCCTTTTATCTAACTCTATGAGTATTTTGTCATGTCACCAAATACTGTTCCGAAAGGTCATTTTAATGACTGCTTAATGTCCGTGTTATTGAAGAGCTGCAATTCATTCACAACTATTTCTCCACACTCGGAAACCAAGGCTGTATTCAACCTTTTGTTGAACTATTGAAAAGTATTGTATCTGGAAGATGTTGGCACCTATTACTTATCTACATTTTGGGGGCTTTCTTGAGAATGGATTTCTGGAAGTAGAATTACTGGGTCAAAGATACAACAATTTAAAACCTACATATATTGGAATAAGTTTTAGATGCCTGACTAGCGTTGTAGATGAAGTCCTTACAGGAAAAAACTAAACAAAAAGTATGGACTTTCATTTTCACTATTTTCTTGCTGAGAATATCCCACTCTTGTCTCATGCCTATACTTATAAACTGAACGTTTTCATTATTTTTGGTATTCCTTCCAATTCTGTCTGTGGCTGTGTGATGCTTTAGATTAACTGGCAGCTAAAACTTGCCTGAAATCAGAATGACATTTTACCAAACCACTAACTAATCAATAACTGCAATGTTTGCATGCCTACCTTGCTAATGTAGTCTGACTATAGCTCCCATAAACTAAAATATTCCTTATGGCATTATATGAACACTAGTTGTTAAATTTCTAAGGAAGCAGTTTCAAATAAGGCATCTATTAATATCATCATGTCCTGACTAACTTCAAATCAGGGAACATTCATTCCTAGAAAACAGTTTTCTTTCTCTCTCTTTTTTTAAGACAGAGACTGGCTCTGTCTCCCAGGCTGGAGTGCAGTGGCGGGGTTTCGGCTCACTGAAACCTCCACCTCCCAGGTTTGAATGGTTCTCATGCCTCAGCCTCCCGAGTAGCTGGGACTACCCGCTTGGGCCACCATGCTGGGCTAATTATCTTCTCTCTAAATAATTATTCACTTTTACATAATTAATTTTTTCTCTCTTTTTTCCTTTTTTTTTTTTTTTT